TCTCAGGAGTCACGGTGTCTGTTAGAACACCTTTAATCAAGAATCAACCTACAATTTACTTCCAGGCCTGGTCTCACAAACAAAGCATGTTTGGTCTGTCTTTTCCTTTTCCCACGAGCTGTCCCAAAATCTAAAAATCACTTCCAGTTCGTAATTCAAATTGATAAAAGAATAAAGATAATGGAAAGACAGTGAGGGTTCCAACAATAAAAGAAAAGTATTCCATATGTGAAGGCAGGAGTTTGTCTCCACAAAGACGGGGAGCGGTTGTCGCTCTTATTGATACTGTCATGTACATCTGTATATATCACGCTGTACATCTGCAGCAGGTAGTTTCATGAAGATGAGGTCAAGTATGACTTACCTTCTTGGTGAATCCCTTACCACTTGCTGCAGGCCCAGACTAGCAACAATGCCCTTTAGGGCCTGACCAGCACATTCAGTAAAGCTACTGCTGAGGCACTGCTGGCGGTGGACACTGAAGTCCCTTGCCCAGAGTAAATTCTGCACCGTTGCCACCCTGAATGCTTCCTCCAAGTTGGGGCAGTACCTGGCAGTCAGCAGAAGGTTTCTATGACCATGTTTAACCTGATGCAAAGAGACTTCATGGGGTCTAAAGTGAATGTCGAGGACCCCCAGGGCAGTTCCCTCCTGACTGTATGCCACACTGCCGCCACCTCTGTCCTGCTGGTAGGACAGGACATACCACGGCAGGGTGATGTCTGGGACATTATATGCAATGTAGTATTCCATGACTATGATATGTTGCATGACTAGTCTGTGTGACATCTCTCAGAATTTCAGCACTAGCCCCCAGATGTTAGAAATGAGGACTTTGTAGGGTCAACAGGGCTGTATTTGCTTTTGTCACTTCCGGTGCCTTAGTCGATGGTAGGTGGACTGTCTGATTTCATTCCTTTATTTTGAGACTTTCAAGTGGTCGGTACAACTGAATAGCTTGCTAGGCCGTTTCATAAGTTGTTGCTGTTGGTCTAGAGTGACACATAGGATAGACCAGGTAATGATTCCAGATTTCCTTTCATAAAGTCCATTACTGAACCAAAAGCAAACAAAGAAAATTCTGGAGAAACTCATTTGAGTCATAGAGATGTACAGCATGGAAACACACCCTTCGGTCCAACTCCTCCATCCTGACCAGATATCCTAAATTAATCTAGTTCCATTTGCCAGCATTTGGCCCATATTCCAGATGCCTTTTAAACGTTGTAATTTTACCAGCTTCCACCACTTCCTGTGGCTACTCATTTCATGCACGCAACACTGCCCCTTAGGTCCCTTTTAAATCTTTCCCCTCTCACGTTAAATCTATGCCCTCTAGGTTTGTACTCCCCAACCCTGGGCAACAGACCATTCCTATTCACCCTATCCATGCCCCACATCATTTTATAAACCTCTTGGTGTCCCCCGATAGCCTCCGCAACTCCAGAGAAAATAGTCCCAACCTATTCAGCCTCTGCCTATAGCTGAATCCCTCCAACCCTGGCAACTACTTGTACATCTTTTCTGAACCCTTTCAAATTTCACTATATCTTTCCAATCGCAGTGAGACAAGAAATGAACACAGTATTCCAAAAGTGGCCTAACAAATGTCCTGTACAGCCACAACATGACCTTCCAACTCCCATACTCAGTGCAGTGACCAGTTAAAGGCAAGCACACCAAACACTTCTTCACTACCCTGTCTACCTATGACTCCACTTTCAAGGAACTATGAACCTGCATCCTAAAGTCTTTTTGTCTGGCAACACACCCCAGGACCTTACCATTAAGTGTATAGGTCCTGCCCTTATTTTGGTAAGGCAAATACAGCACCTCACATTTGTCTATTCCTCAGCCCATTTGTAAATCTGAACAAAGTTCTGTTGTACTCTGAAGTAACTGTCCACTGCACACCAGTTTTACTTTCACCTGCAAACTTACTAACCATTCCTCCTATATTCATGTCCAATCATTTATATGAATGACAAAAAGCAGTGGACCCAGCACCGATCCTTGCGGAACACCGCTGGTCACAATGCTTTCAGTCTGAAAAGCAACCCTCCACCACCACCCTCAGTCTCCTGCCTTCAAGCCAATTTTGCATGCAAGTGGCTAGGTCTCCCTATATTCCATATGATCTAACCTTGCTACCTATTCTATCAAGCAGAACCTTGTTGAACACTTTGATGAAGTCCATAAAGCAATGTTCACCGCTCTGCCTTTATCAGTGTTCTTTGTCAGTTCTTCAGAAAAACTCAATCAAGTTAGTGAAGTACGATTTTCCCCACAGAAAGCCGTGGTGACTATCCCTAATCTGCCCTTGCCTTTCCAAATGCATGTAACTCCTGTCCTTCAGAATCCCGTCCAACAATTTACCCACTGATGACAGGCTCAGCGGTCTTTAGTTTCCTCACTTTTCTTTACCACCTTTCTTAAATAATGGCACCATATTAGCTAACATCCAGTTTCCACCACTTCACCCATGGCTATTAATGATACAAATATCTCAGCAAGGGGTCCAGCAATCGCCTCCCTAGCTTTCCACAAAGTTCTGGGGTACACCACATCACATTAAAGGGCTCAATAGTTAGCACTGCTGTCTCACAGTGCCAGGGACCCGGTTTCAATTCTAGCTTTGGGCGAGTGTCTGTGTTGAGTTTGCACATTTTCCCCATGTCTCCGTGAGTTTCCTCACACTTTCCAGCCATCCCATTGCCTGTGAATAGCTGCCCCCAATCTATTTTTGAAAGTTCTTGCCTAATACCATCAAATTGATCTTCCTCCAACTGAGAGCTTCAACTTTTAGATCAGGTCTATCCTTTTCCATAACGTTTTAAAATGAAGAGAATTGTAATCACTGGCCCCAGAATGCCTCCCCACTGACACCTCAATCATTTGCCTGCCATATTTCCCATGAGAAGGTCAAGTTTTGTTCCTTCTCAAGTAGGGACATTCACATGCTGAATAAGAAAATCTTCTTGTGCATACTTAGAACATAGGAAAATAGAACATGGAACAGTTCAACACAGGAACGGGCCATTCAGCTACGATGTTGTGCTAAACATGATGTCAAATTAAACTAATCCCTTCTGCCTGCCCTTGGTCCTTATCCCTTCATTCCTTGCACATTGATGTACTTATCTAAAATTCCCTTAAACACCCCTCCTGTATTCGCCTCCACCACTACCTCTGCCAGCACTCTTCAGACTCCTACCACTATCTGTGCAAAAAAATTGCCCCTCACATCTCCTTTGAACTTTCCCCTGTCACCTTAAATGCATGCCCCTAGTATCAGATATTTCAAAACTGGGAAAAAGATTCTGACCGTCAACAGTATCTATGCAACTCATAATTTCGTAGACTTTTACCAAGTCTCCCATCAGCCTCCGTCCCTCCTTATAGCTTGTACCCTCTAATCCAGGCAGCATCCTGGTAAAGCTCTTCTGCACCCTCTCCAAAACCTCCACATCCTTTCTGTTGCAAACAGAATTGAAGACAATACTCCAAGTGTGGCCAAACCAAAATCTTATAAAACTGTAACATGACATCCTGATTCTTGTACTCAATTCCCTGCCCAATAAAGGCAAGCATGCCATACGCCTTCTTTACCACCCTATCTATTTGTGTGGCCACTTTCAGGGTTCTATGGACTTGAACCCCAAGAGCCTTCTGTACGTCAGTGCTGTTCAGAGTCTTGCCATTAACTGTATACTTTTCCCTAACATTTGTTCTCCCAAGGTGCAGCACTTCAGGAAAAATGAAATTCTTCCTAATCTCCTACATCCAACACGAAGAGCACATCATTCTACTGAAGGCCATCTATTCACTTTAACAATTTACAGACCCAGATAATAGGACAGTCTTACTGCTCTAAAAACTCTGCTCTAGGATGACTTAGTACCTATGTGTTTTGTGAAGAAAAACTAATCAAGAGACAGATACCACTACTCACTATTGTATATATAGAAAAAAAGTAAGATTTATGTTTGACAAGACTTAAATAAACACTCAGTTGATTCCCAGCTCTGAGTAGTTCCAATAAGGAGTTCTCCCCAAGGTCAGCTGTGAATTTCACTGTTTTTGTTTTTCTTAGATCGAACTCTGTTTTCCAGAGCTGCTTGTAACTTCACAGTCAGTCAGCTGTGAAGGTTCACAGCCAGAATTTTTTTGATAAACTCTTTTGATGTTTCTGTCCCACAGAGGAGTGAACCAAATGCCCTTTTCTGACAATCCACAATAGTTTTAGATATTTAGTTCCAGATTTTTAAATTCTGTTATCAGGCTGGTGTTCAAACCCCCTTCCCAGAACCTCTCCTGATACTGGCTCAGTGATATTACCACCATACCATCACGTCTCCCAGTCAAAAGCAGAAAGATAGAATGGTAACAAAAACAGAAATTGCTGGGAATAAAACTCAATGGGTCTGACAGCATCTGTAGAGAGAAAGCAGAGTTAATGTTTCAGGTCCAGTGACCATTCTTCAGAGCTCATTTTTCAAAGCTGGATGCAACTTGAGTTGGAATCCATGTGGGGTGAGCCTGAGCCAGAGGTAGTCCCTGAGGAACGTGACGTGGCCATTGAAGTGAGTTTTGGCAAATAGCTTGTCAAACGCCAGGAGTGACAACTAAAGTAATGATGGTGAACAAGATAAAAGATTAGAATAGAGATTCTGTGGGAGAGAGGAGCAGATCTTCAGGATGGGCATACCTAGAAGAGATGTGGCAGTGAGTTAAACACTAAAGCAAAAAAAAACAACTACAGATACTGGAAATCAGAATCAAAAACATTTCTAAGAAGGAAGAAAGGGGGAGTTAATTTGCTTACTATTGTCTGAAAAGTAATTGGTAAGCTGTAATACACGTCTGGGTACAGCAGGATACAGGGAGTAATCATTTGATGTCTTTATCAACCAAATGACAGGTGAAACTGAACTATTGATAATCTGCTCAGTGACATGGAGTGCACTTTATCTTAAAATACGCATATTTTTCTTCCTCAGTTGTGGATTTAGATCATAGTGACCCGTGTGAAGATCATATTGTCCTGGATCAGCCCTGGAGGAATAAGAATTGTGAAAATACGGAATGCTCCGGAATGCTGATGTGTGATACCAATACTAATTATGGATGGTACAGATTTAAGAGGTAATTGAGAAGGACAATTTTAGATACATTAGTAAATAAATGGGAGATGTTTTAAGTTCTTTCATGGGTTGTATGACAATGCCAAAACCTGTTACCCATCCAAATTGCCCTTGAAAAAGTCAAAGTGAGCTGTCTTTTTGAATGGTATAGTCACTCTAGGCTGATTTGGCACTATGGCTTGGCCGGGTCACATCAAACAACTACTAAGAAGCCCACCATATCTTGGAGTCACAGACGAGTCAATTTTACAGACTGAATGATCTTGCTTACCACTAGCTGCTGTGGTGGGTCTCAAACCCTGTCCTCCAAGCATTTCCATAGATCTTTACATTAATACCTCGGTGAGATTACTTACGATGCTGTCTCCTTCACGATTACTGCACCCCCACCCTGCCAGTCTTTCTATCACTTAATACATGCCATGCATCAAGGGTCTGACTCCGATTCTTGTTTCAGTTCTGGCGGATGGAAAATGTCAGAGACCATAATTCCAACACATCGCTGTTCCGCATATTCCACTGCCTGGTTACAAGGTATGTTTAGATGTTGTAACATCAGGCTTGCACTTTTCATGTTGTTTCCATCTGTCACTAATTATAAACCTCATTTCAGGTTCTCATCCAGACAGAGTTGATGGAGAAGTGATAAGGACAATTTGTATTCACTGGAATGGAAACCCCTGCTATTGGGTGCATGAGATAAAGGTCAAAAACTGTGCCAGTTTCTTTGTTTATGAGTTGAAGTCATTATTCTACTGCGCTGCCTATTGCACAGGTAAATTGTGTAATTGAAATTGTCTGGAAAGTTGACACTGGATATTCTTTACCACTGACAATATTAAGAATCAAACTTTTCACCTTTTTTGAGCCTAAATACTGACACGAATGTGAAATATTTAAAACAAATTGAACTATTCGCCGAAGCTTTAGGGCACTGGGGCTTTGTGGTTTTGTTATTGGTGTCCAACTTTTTAAAAATGTTAATCTAGTTAAAATAGAATCAGACTAACAGATTGAAGAGTTAAAATTTCAGAGCTTAAGAATTAAGATAGAAAATGTATATAATAAAAAGCTGTCAGTTTTTAGACATCCTTTCATTACAGTTAAATGCATCAGGTCTTGAAAGTGATAGTAATGGAAATCTATTTTTGGATTGATGACTACAAATGGGTTTCTGGTACTGAGTTACACCCAGGTGTGCTTATAATGCAATATCATTTAGTCTTTAGTCCGTGGCAGTTCCATGAAAATGTAAAAATGTTTGAGTGTTGTAATCTTTGGCAAATCTTTTGGGAATACGTTGAAAAACTGTAATCTAAGAAATCAAAAATAAATTGCTGCAATAATGTAATGGTAACAGTAATTAATGTTTACACCAAAAGTCAACATTCAGAATCGTAACTTAAGATGTTCTTAAAATTTACTTTTATTTCTTATTATAGTTTAAGTAAGTTTGCAGATGACATCAAAATTGGTGGAGCAGTGGACAGTGAAGAAGGTTATCTCAGAGTACAATGGGATCTTGATCAGATGGGCCGAGGAGTGGCAGATGGAGTTTAGTTTAGATAAATGTGAGGTGTTGCATTTTTGTAGGTAAATCAGGGCAGAACTTATACACTTAATGGTAAAGTCCTAGGGAGTGTTGCCGAATGAAGAGAGCTTGGGATGCATTGGTTAGGTTACTTTTGGAATATTGCATTTAATTATGGTCTCCCTGCCAAAGGGAAAAGTATTATTAAACTTCAAAGGGTCAGAAAAGATTCACAAGGATGTTGCTGGGGTTGGAGGATTAGAGATATGGGAAGAGCTTGAATAGGCTGGGGCTATTTCCCTGGTCCGTCAGAGGCTGAGTGGTTACCTTATAGAGGTTTATAAAATTATGATAGCGTGAATTGCCAACGTTTATTTTCTCAGGGTAGACGGGTCCAAAGCTAGAAGGCATAGGTTTAATGTAAGAGGGGAAAGATTTAAAAGGAACCTGAGAGGAAACTTTTTCATGTGCTGTACAACTCTGAGTCTACCAGTTTATATCTCTTGTCCAGGAAAATTTTGTTTTCAATGATTGCAGGAGTTTGGATTTCTTAGGCAAAAGACAGTCAAAGTGAGACATTCTTAAAAGAAAGGCAATGAATGCTCAGTCTTGGCTAGTTAATATGCTTCTAGCAATCTCATAGGCCCTAGGTACCATGCCCAACCTTTATGACAAACAAACCAATGATTTTAGCATGATCGACAGCTGTCCAATCTCTGAGCAATGTTTAGGGGAGAGGAGCTAGAAAGGTGGTTAACGTTGAGAGTCACAGTGCTGAAATAGGTGAAATATGTGTAAAAGCGTGAGTAAGTGGTTTGAAGAAAGGTAAGATCGTGAAGAAAGTGAAGGAGAAGATAATGATGCCGGTCAGACCGTTCTGAAATCAATAGCCACAGGGGATGGGAAGTGGAATATTCAGGACAAGGAAGTAGTTTTTTCCTTCTAATTCACTCGCGTCACTGGCTGGGCCAACATTTATTTCCCATCCCTAATTACCAGAGGCAGTTAAGAGTCTACCACATTGCTGTTGTTCTGGAGTCACATGTAGACCAAACCAAGTAAGGATGACAGATTTTCTTCCCTAAAGAATATTTGTGAACCAGATGGATTTTTCCGACAATCAACAATCGCTTCATGTCATCTTTAGACTCTTGATTCTATATTTTTATTGAATTCAAATTCCATCACCTGCCATGACAAAATTTGACCCCAGGTTCCAAAAACATTCTGATGAAGGGTCTAGGCCCGAAACGTCAGCCTTCCTGCTCCTATGATGCTGCTTGGCCTGCTGTGTTAATCCAGATCTACACCTTGTTATCCAAAAACATTAGGTGAGTTTTGGATGAATAGTGTGGCGATAATACAACTAGGCCATTGCCTCCCCATCGAGGTGAAGTTTTTAATGGAAAGTGAATGATATGGAGTGAGCAGTGACCATGATGGAGACACGTGTGGAGGACTGAGAAACATGTAATGAAAGAGAGAACATGATAGTTCAATATTTATACTGGTATGTCCACTAAGAGTGAGCCTGAGTCCGTCATTAAAATGTTATCATGTGGACACTAAGGGAAGGGGATACAGTGAATGCTGTTGGGCTAATAGCATGATCAAAGGTTCTGGAATGTGATGATGTGTTGCACATTATTCACTGAAGGATCTGAACAACTGTAATACTGGACCATTCGCTGAAATCTCTTGCCAAACAAAGGATGTTCTGAGCTCATCCTTATGCGGCACTTTTGTATGTTGACTTATTTTGATTGTGATTCCAGAGACTTGTAGAATAATAGATTTCAATGGGATTGAATGTTTGAAGGCAATTCGGACAGGATGACTGAATAAGAGTGAGATGCACTGACTGAGGAACGTGGGATGTAGTGACTGATGGAAGTGGGTTCTACTTGCTGACAACTGTTGGATGTATTGAAAGTGAGGCATAGAATGTAGTGACTGAGAAGATAATAATTTATAGATGGAGGCAAGCTGGATGCAGTGTCAAAGGGTAGGAAGATGTAATGAGAGCATGACCTAGAGACTAGATAGTAATATGCAGAAACAAAGGGGAGTCATTTGTAAAGATCAGATCAGATGCAATTTGGCCAGAGTGGAGTGAGAGCAGATACTTTCAACTAAATCTCTCTCAGAATAGTGGGATGTATTCAAGAAGGAAATATGAAGAGCACCGTACCAACATGATCCAATAAACAAAAAGATTGGGACTATCAAATCCTGTGAACTGTGGATACCGAGGGAAATACTGCATTAGATTAAGAGAAAAGGAGGATTAGGGCAAATACCAAGAGTTCAAACCAGAACAAGCCCTAAAGGGGTTTAGAATGTGCATGAGGAAACTTAAAAGAGTAGAGTAGGAGAGCTAAAAAGGGACATGAAAGGATATTGACAGGTGAAGTAAAGAAAAGTCCTAAGTTATTTTAACAGGTACATTCTTAAGTGCAAAAGGGTACAATGGAAACATCGGGGCCCATTAAGGACCATGGTGGTAATTTGTACCTGGAGCCAGAGAATATAGGTAGGCTTCTGAATGAATACTTTGTGTCAGCGTTCACAAGTGAAAGGGACAATGTAAATTTCAAAATCAGGGAGAATGTCTGTGACACAATTAAAGAAATTAGCAATTACAGAAAGGAGGTTCTGAGTGTTCTGGAAAGCTTAAAAGTAGATAAATCTCCAGATCAGATAAAATGTAATGTGTGTTGTTGAATAAGGCAAGGCAGAGCTGGTAGGGCTGCTTGCTAAAATGTTCACTTTCTCTTGAGTCACAATTCCTGTCCTATACTCCAGTGTAAAAAGTCTCAGCCTATCCAGCCTCTCCTTGTAACTCAAACCTTCCAATCTCAGCAACATCCAGTAAATCTCTTCTGTGCTCTCTCCAGCTTAATAATATCCTTCCTATGACAAAGACCAGAACTGCATACAGTACCCCAGAAGAGAGCTCATCAACATCCTGTACAGCCTCAACATAACACCCCAACACCTATACTCAAGGGTCTGAGCAATGAAGGCAAGTGTGTTAAACACCTTAACCACCCTATCTGTATGTGAGGCAAACTTCAAAGAATAAAGAACCTGAACCCCTATGTCTTTCTGTTCTGCAACACTGCACAAGACCCTATTTTTCATTGTATAAGTTCTGCACTTGTTTGTTTTACCAAAATGCAATACCTTGCATTCATCCAAATTAAACTCCATCTGCCACTCTTCAGCTCATTGGTCCAATTGATCAAGATCTTTTTGTAATCTGAGATAACCTACTTCACTGTACACTGTACCATGAATTTTGGTGTCATTCACAGATTTACAAACCATGAATTCCATAATCTCATCTACACCCTTTATATAAATGACAAACAAAAGTGGACTCAGCATTGATCTCTGTGGAACAGCGTTGGTTACAGGTCTCCTGTCCGAAAAACAACTCTTCGCCATCAGTCTCTGTCTCCTGCTGTTAAGCCAATTTTATATCCAATTGGCAAGCTTACCCTGAATCCCATGTGATCTAACTTTACCAGTTAGTCTACCATACGGAATCTTGTCAAAAGCTTTTCTAAAGCCCAAGTAAACAATATCTACCAATCTTCCCTCAGGTTTTAGGGCTTCCCTTAGCACATACTCCTAGACCTTGGAATGTGCCATCTGCAACATTTGGTCAAGTTCAACTGGGTAGGCTGGAACACCAACACATTTCAGGGAGATGAAAGAGCATTTTCATCAGTTGATGGTTCTCCTTGTGCAGTTGATGTTTGCCTTGATGTGAGTCCCGGGGAACAGACTGTAGAGCATACAGTCCTGCATCACAGAGCTGCTCAGGACGAATCTCGGCAAAAGCCACTAATTCTGTTTCCAGCCCTTCATTGCAAAGGTACATTCCTGAAGAAGATGTGTGACAATCTCTCCACCAGTGAAAACGCTTTAAGGACAATGTATGGTGGTGCGTAGAGACCAGACGTGCATAATGCATCAGATGGGTAGTGCCCTTTTCATCTCAAGGCAAACTATGTCTTAATGCTTCTTGGAAAGTTCTGGCAATGAAGCATTCTGCCAAATGACTTGAAGAGTTTGCCCAGGGAACCAGATGACTTGATTCACCTTTTCCTTTTCCCACAGAGTCTTGAGGAATTATGTGCTGACCCACTCCCTGATTGACTTGTGGTAAAAGGGTTTCCTTTTGCAAATTTTTTCACAAGGAACAGTGATATAGAACAATCCGACTGCTTGGAAAGTTCTGCAGCATCAAACTCTGACCCAATCTTTGCAACACTGAGGACAGGTATGTAGTGACGCTTGTTTGCATACCGATGGTCTGCACACAGCATCATGCAACCACACACAACAGCCATGTCCAGTACATCTTCCCCCTGCCTTATTCAGAGCTTGAGACATGGTGTTCCTGTGGACATGGTCCATTTTTGATCTCGAGATGAAGTGGAGGATAACTTGAGTGACTGCAATTTTGCAGGTTCAGCAAGTGGGCCAGATCCAGATGCAGTAACACCAACAGTACTTTACACCTGATAGCCAGGTTTTCACCCACAATAGAAAGGAAGTGGTGTTCTCATCTGCCCAGCTTCTGCCTCACCTTGGCAATATGCTCCTCCCAAGTTTTTGACAATACCATGGCCCCTCCCAACTAAATTCCCACCACCTTCAGACAATCTGTCCTGATGGTAAAGGGGATGAAGGATCATTTGGTCTAGTTTCCAAAGAACTGGTCGCAAATGGTCATACGTCTGAGCACTGACAGTGGGTCCAAACAGAAAACAATGACATCATTCATGTATAGGGATGCTTTGACCTGTAAGCCTTCGCTGCCAGGAATAGTTACTCCTTTCAGGCTCAAATTCTTCCTCATGGACTTGGCAAAAGGTTCCACACAGCAGACAAATAAGGCAGGAGCAAGTGAGGACTACCTCGCCTGACACCAGATCTGATCAGAAAGCCCTCTAATTCCCAATTTTTGATTGAGACAGTAACGATGTTGTTGTCGAGCAGTTGGATCTAATTGTGGATTCCTTACCCAACAGCCATTTTGGAGAGCAGATCTCTGCTGTTGCTTGCAATATCCTGTCAAAGGCCTTCTCCTGGTATAGGCTGATAAGGCAGGCTTCCACCCCTCTGTTCTGGAAATAGACAATTAAATCCCTGAGGAGAGTGATGCTCTCAGAGATCTTTCTGCCTGGTTCAGCACAGGTTTGGTCATTGGGAATCACTGATCCCTGAACAAACCTGACCTGGTTGGCAATGACCTTGGACAGAATTTTGTACTCTGCTTTCAGCAGTGAGAGTGGTTGCCAATTTCTAATTTCCTTCCTGTCCACCAGAAAGGTGATAATACCTTTCCGCATGGATTCACACACACTGCCTGTCTGAAGTATGCTATCATACACATGCAACACATCCTGGCCATTCAGATCCAACAGAGCTAAATACAGCTTGGCAAGGAAGTGGTCACATGTGGGAGTTTTATTCCTCTCAAGGCACTTGAGGGCCTGACTCAGCTCATGCAGGGAGAATAGCTGGTCCAACACCAATGTCCTGCAACCTAAGATCTCTGGTAGGGAGGCCATGCTGCCGATTGGTTTTGTGTCATACAGTCTGACATAAAAGGATTTGTTGATCCTCAGAATTTCACACTGAGATGACATCAAGCCATCTTATTCTGGCTGCTGATCACTAAGCTCTCCCTGTGTACCATCTGGAAGGAGAAACCTGAGCATGTCTCATCTTGTTCCACAACCAGATCCTGGACTGGAAGATTATCTTGGAGGCCTTTGAGCCAAAGAGCAAGACTTGCTGGCTCTTCACCTTCTGGAGATCCTCCTTCACATCAAACCCCATTGTCTATAGCAGGAGTAGGCTCTGCATACTTTTCTGGAGTTCGGATAGATTTCCCCATTTCTCTTCCCTTCTTAACACCTTTGAGGATGAGAAACCTCTTGATATTCCTCTTGACTGTTTCCCATTGGTCTAGTAGAGACTCAAAGAGGGGTTTTGCGGTTCTCCAACATTTTTCATCCCTTTTGAGTTCCTCAATGCTTTCTAGGGTCCACAATTTCACTTTCAACTTCCGCATTCCCTTGCTTATGGTCCTGTAGGTTACAGTCAGCCAGCAAAAGGCAGCAGTTGGAGAAGAAAACCGGCTTCACATCGGTGGATCTGACCAAGAATGCCTGGACACAAACAGGAAATCTATCCTCAGCTGGGCAGACCCAACTGGCTGTGACCAGGTGTATCTATGCTGCACTCTGTCTGCAGGAGTGCTGAAGGTGTCATGCAGATTTGGCACCTTTCACAGCTTCCATCAGGATGTGGTTTCCAGGTTGTTGTCATCCCCTCTGAATCATCCACCACATCGATGATGCAGCTGAAGTCTCTGGCCAAAATGACTGGCCTGGGCATTGCCAGTACTTCATGCCCGATGACCCAGGTTTATCCACAATGGAGAAGGAGAGGTGCTCCCATATACCCTTGCCTCACTTCAGCGACACGCTCCTCCCAAATTTTTATGCACGCTCTGGCCCCTCTGAACCATATACCCAGCACCTTCAGGTAATCTATCCTGACAGTGAAGGGGATAAAGAATCAGTTGGCCCAGTTCCCAAAGAACATGCCCTTGCTCTTGTTTCAATTTAACTTGCCTCCTGAGGCCAGATCAGAGAGAGTCTGCTTCAGTGATGAGGCTGATCCTTGAGGCAGCTCCTGTGGCGTCTTTGGTGATGTGGTAGTCTGGCCTGGGATTCTAATGCCCCAAGATTTGGCGGCTTTGGTGTCAGATTTCTGCGGCGGTGAAAAATGTGGTTCCTGTCTTTTCCTTGACTTTGGAAACCCATGAGCCGTAACGTAGTCAAAATGGACTTTGTCTTTAGAGATAGTAGGAACTGCCGATGCTGGAGAATCTGAGATAACACGGTGTAGAGCTGGATGAACACAGCAGGCCAAGCAGCATCAGAGGAGCAGGAAAGCTGACGTTTCGGGTCGTGACCCTTCTTCAGAAATCTTTGTCTTTAACTTTTTATATATAATTTCTGTTATTAATATAAGTGCTGGTGTATGGTGATTTAAAGCCTGTTCACTGTATTTTTTCTAAACTTACAAGTGCCAATAAATTACTATTATGTTCTATTCTATTCTATATTCTTTAGTCACGCATTCAACTGCACTATGCTCCCATTTCTGGCCTCATTAGCACATATAATCCAAGATTACAACCTAAGTCCCTAAATTCCCTTTGCAGGACCTCATGTCTCTTATTGCTTATGACGTCTGTGCTAATATGGACACTTTTCTGAGTCTCCGACTACAGAGACCCCTATCACTGCAACTCGCCTACATTTCAACCCTCCCTGCTATACATCAGAGTCAGTGGTGGTGGACTGCAGCTGTTCCTTTTCCCTGAAAGGCCATCGCTCCGAATAGTACTGAAAATGGTTGACTTGTTTAAGTGGGGAATAGCCAAAGAGTACTCCCACACTGCCTGCCTGCCCTTCCAGGCTGTCACCTATCAATGTGGCTGAACCTTTAGAGTAATGACATCCCTGAAACTCCCATCTATAAAACTTTCTGCTTCCTGTATGCTCTTCAGTGAGTCCAACTGCTGCTCCAACTGATCCATGGAGTCTGAGAGAAGCTGCTAGTGAACACACTTCCTGACTTTGGTTTTTAGGATGTACTAACTAGGAAGATTGGATATAGTAACTAAGGGGCGTAATGTCAATTGTGATACACAGGAATGACAGACGAGGGTAAATTATACACACTGCAGTAAATAAAATGTAGCAACAGAAGGGTATCATGGCCAGTTAACTGCTGGAAGTGTGGTATTGACGGAATTGCACAGGAAACGTTGAATAAGCAAAATGTCCGTGGATAGAGCTTGATAGTGACTCAGAAAATGTAACTTAGTCCCTGAGAGAAGTGGGAAATAGACTTTGAGAGGAATGTGGTAGAATAGCTGAGAAGAGTGATGGCAGGATTGTGTGAGTTTCAGGGTCTGAAAGGCAGGGAATGTAATGACTTGAAGATATTCAATGCAGTGCTAGCAAGCAGTCCATTGAGGCAGAGTGGATGTCTTTCCCTGATTTTGAGTGGTACAGCACAATAACATCAGTGGTTCAAGAAGGCAGTTCACCACCAGATTCTCAAAGGCAACCAAGGATGGGCAATAAAAGCCGGTACAAACAGCACGGCCCATGTCCGACAAGAAAATAAAAAAAAAAGATTGATATTTCCTGAACCAGGCATTTAACCAGTTGAGTTGGTGTCAACTCTAAAATATTTCTCTTCTGTGTTTCACTTTTACTTTAGATCCAGACTCAGCACCAACTCATTTGCCCGAGGAACAATCAACCTGGCAAACTTTTGAGCAGTCGTCACTTATGCCCACAGGAACTGCAACCTCAGGTATACGTCGAATTGGATTCATTTATTAAATTCAATATCTGTGAGTAATGGTACACGGTCAACAAGAGGTAGGGGCTGGAGTGACTGACTAGAATGGTTAGTTATTGAAAGAGTTGGAATTATTGAGTAATGATTCCTTGATGCAATGAAATAAAGGAGTGTTTCAGCAGTGTGGTTTCTCAACTGAGTCACTTGTTTGGAGAAGTGCAGAAAATGACACTGCACAGAGTTGTGTCAGAAGGCATTTCACAGCCTGAACGCCATAAGCCCAGTGTTAGCCAGCCCTAATGTGCAAAGCCATTCAAGGTGGCTATCGATGCAAGTGATGTGAGTGTCGGTGCTGCACTCTTGCAAGAAAATGATGAGGGGAAGAAAGACCTTTGGGTAGTTTTTTTGCAGACAATTGAACAATCATCAGCAGAAATATTCGAGGATATAGAAGGAAACTAACATTTCAACATTCGTGTTGCCAGTAATGGGTTTGGGACAATTGTATATACTGATCATAGCCCCTTAAATATTTTGGGAGAATTTAAGGATGAAAATTACAGACTGTTCAGACGGAGCTTATAATTGCAGCCATTCAATTTGGAAATTATACACATGGCAGGATGACAGCACATAAACGCCAATGCGTTATCGTGACTTTAATGAAAGAAGACGGAGGCATTCGGTAACAAGACCAGAAAAGGCTGTAATGGACTGTAATAGTGAATGTTTGCATTCTTATAGTCAATGCAATGTATATCTATTGTACTGTACTAACAGAATTAGCTCCATTTTTTAAACCCTTTTGTGTTATTCTATGTATGTTATTGGTTCATTTTTCAAGATGGGAAGGGAAGTTGTGGCAATACTATAACACAAGAGGTGTAATTTGTCCTGTCCTTTCTTTGAAGAGAGGTTGAAAGACAGAGTTGAAACCCTGTCTATTTAAATACAATAAACAGCTCGTGAGGCCTTGAGGTTTATTTTCAAAGTTGGAATGTTAAAGGCAGCAAGAGAACCGAATATTCAGTTTGAGTTTTTCAGTCGCCGTTGCTGGGGCCTTGAAGCTGAGGTTTGAAGCTGCAGCACACATCTCCCCACTACTGTCTGTCTGAGTTTTCTCTTAACATTTTTCCTCCTGGACTGGAGAATTGCATGTGAGACAATCAATTTTACTGAATTTGCCTGTGCTAAGTATGTGTTTCTGAGATGTTAGTATATTAGAATAGTTACTGTTTAGCAGTTAAATAATTTATTATTCTGTCAAGTTTTCCAGCAGTTAAGTCATCCCAATTCCTCCTTTCTTTTGTTGTAATTTAAATATAGTATATGAATGAAGTGTGTTTTGCATCAAGACTGGTATTTTGACTAATCAAATTGCATGCAAAATGGAACACCTGGCACTTGTCTTGAAAATAAGAAAACGTTAGGGTCTAGGCTATCTTCTTAATCTATTTTGAGAGGTTTTGGTCTGGTCCATCAAAATAGAGGGTGGTAATGACTCAGAAAATGCAACTTAGTCGCTCAGAAAAGTGAGATATCGACTTTGAGAAAAATGCCGTGTAATAGCTGAGAAGAGTGATCAGAGGAATGTGAGAGTTGCAATGACTGAAAGATGGGGAATGTAGTGATTTACAGGTGTTAAATTTAGTGCTAGGATACAGTCCATTGAGGCAGAGTGGGATTGCTTTCCTTGATTCCAAGTGGTAGAGCACAATGACATCAGCGGTTCAAGAAGACAGCAACCATCACCTTCTCATAGGCAACAAAGGATGGGCAACAAAAGCTGGTTCAGCCAGCACTGCCCACGTGCCACGAGAGAATTTACAAAAATATAGAATGATTTTTAATATTTCCTGAAGCAGATACTTAACGAGTTGTGTTGATCTCTACTCTAAAATGTCTCTTCTGTGTTTCTACTTCAATTCAGGCCCAGAGTCAGCACCAACTCATTTGCCTGAGGAACAATCAACCTGGCAATCTTTTGAGCAGTCATCACTTTTGCCCACAGGAACTAAAACCTCAGGTATACGTCCAATGGATTCATTTATTAAATTCACTAACTGTGAGTAATGGTAGACAGTTAACAACATGGCTGAGAAGTAGTGACTGACTGGAAAGGTTATTTATGGAATGAGTTTGAATTATTGAGTAATGATTCCTCAATGCAATAAATTGCGGGAGTGACGAAATAATTGTTCAATGACTGCAGCTTTGTTTTACATGAGGAAAAGTAAAGATTTAGTTTAGCTGTTTCCCTTAAAATGGCTACAGCTCTTACCATCTTCAGAACTGATCTGAGAGTCAGGCGTTTGCTCTAGTGTGGACGGAGATCCAATTGATTCCAACTTAGCGTCAGAGTCTGACAGGATCAAAAAAAATTTGCAAGTATACAAGAATTAGGATAATTGACCAATTAACCAATTCGTACCAATTCATAGCAAGAAACTATAACAACAATGGATGAATATAGCACACATATAACAATATAGAGATGGGTTACTGATGATGTGTAATATCTTGAATGAACGGAGTAATTGTAATCAATAAAGAGATTTTGATTATTTTTTTCCCTCTTGCTCTTTCTCACTTCATTCTAGCTTGCTTTACTTTTTTTCTTTTCTTTTTAACCAACCTTTTCAAATGTGTTAGCGTACATTTCTGCAGTAGATAGGAGTTGATGCTGTGTTTTCCAGGTTGAAGATATGGGCACCATACCACTATCCCATCTCTTTATTGTTATATGTGTGCTATATTCATCCATTGTTGTTATAGTTTCTTGCTATTCTTCCACGTCCTGATTGATGTTTAATTTTTGCTGATCAACTTGAGAATTTGCTTACTTCTAACATGTTGGATTTTCCTGTTAAAAATGTAAATGATTTGCAATAAGTTGATGCACCTCTTACAAATGGATGTCCATATTGATTGAATGTGAGCTAACAGATCAACCAGGATGTGAGTGGTTTTCGTATGGATTGGTTAATTGGTCAATTATCCTAATTCTTGTATACTTGCGAATTTTTTTTGATCCTGTCAGACTCTGATGCTAAGTTGGAATCACTTGGATCTCCGTCCACACTAGAGCAAATGCCTGACTCTCAGATCAGTTCTGAAGATGGTAAGAGCTGTAGCCATTTTAAGGGAAACAGCTAAACTAAATCTTTACTTTTCCTCATGTAAAACAAAGCTGCAGTTGTCTCTCTTGAAACAGATGTGTAGTTGTTATTCTTGCAGGAACATCTATAGCTCCCAGTCTGTCCAGTTATTTGTCTTCCTCCTGACTTTTAAGTTCACAGAATTGTCATGGTGAAGAAGACCGTTGGCTCATCTTGTTTGCACCATTTTTTTGTTCATTCTGACATGATGCCAATCCTCAGACTTTTCCCCATAACAGGGTATAGTGTTTTCATTCTAATAATTACCTGACACCCTCTTAAATACAGCAATCAAAACTGCCTCCACGCAGTCAGTGTAGTCCAGACCCTAGGCACTATGCAAAAGAATATTTCTCATGTCACAATTTCATCTTTTGCAAAACATTTTATGACTGTATCCTTTGGTTCTTAACTCTTTACAAATAGTTTCTTTTTCACAACTCTTTTGACATCCCTCATGTATTTGCTCAAACCTTACCTCAGCTTTCACCTTCCGAAGAACTACTCCAGTCTAGAGCTGTATGTCACACAGTTAATTTGTTAATTACTTCTAGCCCTTGGGCCAGATTCAAACCCACCTCCCTCCCCAGGCTCCCAAGACAATCCCATGATGCCACCACTTGCTCAGCCAAACAATCCCAGTGTATTATTAAATTTAATTCGCAACAGACTAGTCAATACCTTTTCAAGTTTATTTTCCAGTTACCTGTGACCAGTGCATATGAAGTGATTGGGTTAGAAGGTTTGTACTTCAAACTTATTTCCTCTATTTGTACTTCAAACTTATTTCTTCTATTTGTACATGGCTTCCATATCCTTTCCAGTTTATTTTTTAACCAACTGGTCTCTGTTTATGACTGTTGCTGTACATGTCTCTCCATTTCTCAGTTTTTTTCTTGCTCTCTAAAATGATTCCCTGTCGCTGTACTCCTCTTTCCTTCTACGTCTTTATAATACTTGTCTCCCTCTATCTGTCTGTTTCCCTCTTTGCTTTGACATTATTTCATTTGATTACTGACATTCTCCTTCACCCTGCTATCTCATCTTCTCTGTCAGTCCCTATTTCATTCTTCCTCTCATTTTCTCTTTATCTGTCCCTGTCTTTATCTCTATCTATCATAGAATCCGTACAGTGTGGAAACAGGCCCTTCAGCCCAACAAGTCCACACCGACCCTCAGAGCATCCCACCCAGACCCATCCGCCTATAACCCACCTAATCTACACATCCCTGAACACTACAGACAATTTAGCATGGCCAGTCCACCTAGCCTGCACATCTTTGGACTGTGGGAGGAAACCAGAGCACCCGAAGGAAACCCGCACAGATGTAGGGAGAATGTGAAAACTCCACACAGACAGTCGCCCGAGGGTGGAATTGAACCCAGGTCCCTGGCGCTGTGAGGCAGCAGCGCTATCCACTGAGCCACCATGCTGCCCCATTTGTCTAATTTTGGTATTTATCATTGTATCCCTGTACCCTGCTGTACTTTCTGCCTGATTCTGATGGATAAAAGTGGAGTGAGAAATTATAATGTAAGGATTTAAAACAATTGAGAAGGGGAAAACAAGGAAGAACAGAAGAAGAGAATACATGAATCAATAAAGGTTTTATAATGGGGGGGTAGATAAAATGAAGCTGAGATATAGAGGATTATAATGCATATGTGGAGAAGATGGAAGAAAAATAACATTATAAAATATGCAAAGGTGCATGTATTAGATGTGTCCAGGTATTAAATTGAAACATACCGTCCTGTGCTAACTCTGGGTGTTTTTGACCTCTTCATGTTGTGACTTTTGTGTTTAGATATTCAATACACTTGGATTAATGTGACGATCATTTCCAAGGTGGACCTTGAAGAAGATACAGCAAAGAGAATTGCTAACGCGACGGTGAGAGATAGCATTGAATTAAGGCTAATCACAGCAGACCCTAGGTCATCCTTCTGATTATCTGCATTTACTAATTTCACAAGTTTGGAAGATGACAACCAATGAATTGAATATTTGCAGGGCCAATTCCTTTATTACTCTGGAATGTATCAGGCCCTGAGGAGACTGACAGTCTATAACCCCATTAATTTCCCCAGTATAATTTTTTTTACGAATATTGATTTCCTTCTTTTCCACCCTCTTTCTAGACCCTTGGTTGCCTAACTTTTCTGAGAGACATTTCTGCCATGTCTTTGTTCCTGATTATAATGTCCCCAGTTTCTGACTCAAAGGACCGACATTTGTCATTGACAATCCTTTTCTCTTCACATATCTGCATAAGTGATTTGGAGTAAAACATAGCTGGTCTAATTAGTAAGTTTGCAGAGATACAAAGATTGGTGGAGTTGTGGATAGTGAGGAGGATGGTCAGAGAATATAGATCAGTTGGAGGCATGCAGAAAAATGGCAGATGGAGTTTAATCTGGACAAGTGAGGGAATGCATTTTGGAAGGTCAAGTACAGATGGAAATTATGCAGTGAATGGTAAAACCCTTAGGAGTATTGATATATGGAGAGATCGGATTGTGCAGGTCCACAGATCACAGAACGTGGCAGTGCAGGTAGATAAGGTAGTAAAAAGGCTTCTGACATTCTTGCCTTCATTGGAAGGGGCATTGAGTATAACGATAGACAAGTTATGCTGCATCTTAATGGAAATTCAGTTAGGCCACACTTCAAATATTGCATACGGTTCTGGTCACCACACCACCTGAAGGATGTGGATGCTTTGGAGAGGGTACAGAAAAGTTTTACCAGGATGTTGCCTGGTCTGGGGGTGATTTTAGCTATGAAGAAAGATCGGATAGACTGAGTTTGTTTTCACTGGAATGCAGGAGGTTGAGGGGTGACCTGATAGAAGTTCATAAGATTGTGAATGTCATGGATAGAGTGGTAGCATGAAGCTTTTTTCCCCAGGGTGGAGGGCTCAATTACTAGGGAACACAGGTTAAAGGTGCGAGGGGGAAGTTTGAAAGAGATGCGCAAGGCAAGTTTTTCACACAAGGGTTGTGAGTGCCTGGAATGCACTGCCAGAGGAGGTGGTGGAAGCAGACACAATAGCAGCATTCAAGAAGCACCTGAACAAATACATCTATAGGAAGAGAATAGAGGGATATGGATCCTATAAATGAAGACAATTTTAACATGAAAGGGCAAAATGCATCAGCGCAGGCTTGGTGGGCTGAAGGGCCTGTTCCTGTGCTGTGTTGTTCTTTGTTCTTTATATTTGTAGAAGCTCAATGTCTATGCTTTTCTGCGCAATTTTACTCTCATTCTCTATTTTCTCCCTCCAGACAAAACTTTTTGTCCTCTTTTGCTAAATTCTGAATATGAATCATTGCCCATTTACCATCAAACACTTTAGTAATGTTCCCTAAGCCATCCTTGCAATTCACAACTATATATTCATCGTTCCCTTTGTTTTTGATTCAGGATCCTTGTTTCAGATTTAACTACTTCACTCATTTAATGTTCACTCTTCCTCAAAGATACCACACAACACGTTTGTTCATCATTCCTTTCTTATTGCGCAGTACCCACTCTTGCCTGCTTTGTTAATCAATCTATTGGTCTAAAAAAATGTCATACAGTCTCAAGGAAATCCTAAACAACAACAGAAATTGTGAGAAAAACTCAGCTGGTCCAGTAGCATCAGTGGAGAAAAAGCAGAGATAACATTTTGGTCCTTTTTCTTCTTCACTGGACTCAAAACATTAACTCTGCTTTCTCTCTACAGATGTTGCGAGACCTGCTGAGCTATCCTGGCAATTTCTGTTGTGGTTTCTGAGTTCCAGCATCCGCAGTTTTTTTTTAATCCAAGGAATCCTCCTTGCCAATAGCATCATCAGTTTGATTTGTCAATCTAAATGTAAATTCAAGTCACCCATGATTACATTTATACCCTCATTGCTTGATTCCCTGATTAAAGTTTTGGCAAAGATCTGTAGCTCGGGTTGTGGGTGAGGTTGTTGACTTGCTCACCGAGCTGGCTTGTTTTCGTTCAGACCATCCTAGGTGACATCATCAGTGGAGCCTCCGATGAAGCAATATTATTCTACTCTGCTTGGAATTTATACTGTCTGGTCCATTATGTTGAGTAGTGGTTTTGATCTGTATGGGTTTGTATTTGGAGTCCAATTCTATATGTTTGTTGATTGCATCACGAGTGGAGAACCAAGCCTCTAGGAATTTCTGTGCATGTCTCTGTTTGACTTGGGCCACTATGATTACCTTGTCCCAGTTAAACTGATGGTCTTCATTGTCTGAGTGTACAATATTAAGGAGAGTTCGTCATGTTGTTTTGCTGCTAGACGATCTTCATGTATTCTGATGGCCAGTTTCCTTCCTGTCTGTAATGTTTGTGGCAGTCGTTGCATGGTATTTTGTAAACCACATTGTTTCTGCATGTTGTGGGAATGAGGTCTTTAATCCTTGTGATTGTGTTTGCCATAGAGTGGCTGTGGGCTTGTGTGCTACCATGATTCCTAGTGGTCTTAGGAGTCTTGTCCATTCCGATATGTTCTTGATGTAGGGCAGTGTGGCCAGTATGTTAAAGCATACTGTGTCCTTCCGTTGTTGTCTGTTTAGTAGGCATCTGCAGATGATGCAACAATTTAGAAGAGATCCACCACCTCATCAACAGCATATTCGCAGAGATTAAATTCACAACGGAAGAAGGAAACAACAATCAACTTCCATTTTTGGATGTTAAAGTTGAGCATATGACCAACGGGGAGTTCCAAACCTCAGTATACAGAAAAGTAACCCACACTGATCAAATCCTCAACTTCCACAGCAACCACCCCAACGTCCACAAACAAAGCTGCATTTGGACATTATTTAAATGGACTAGGACACACGACAACACTCCAGAACAACGCAGGAAAGAGCACCTATCCAAAATCTTCGCTATGAATGGATAGCCCCGCAACTTGATCCACAGATACAGACTAAACAGACAACAACAGGAGGACACCGTATGCCCTAACACACTCTCCTCACTGCCCTACATCAAGAACATATCGGAACTGACAACAAGACTCCTAAGACCACTAGGGATTATGGTAACACACAAGCCCACAGCCGCTCTACGACAAACGCTCACAGGATTAAAGACCCCATTCCCACAACATGCAGAACCAACATGGTTTACAAAATACCATGCAACGACTGCCACAAATATTACATCAGATAGACAGGAAGGAAACTAACCATCGGAGTACATGAACAGCAAAATGGCAGGATGAACTCTCCTTAATATCGGTACACTCAGAAAATGAAGGCCATCAGTTTAACTGGGTCAAGGTAACCATAGTGGCCGAAGCCAAATTTTGACATGCACGGGAATTCCTCGAGGCTTGGTTCTCCACCTGTAATGCAATTAACAAACACATAGAATTGGACCCCATATACAAACCCATACAGATCAACACTGGAAATAATACCACTCCCTATAACAGACCAGACAGTACAAATTCCAAGCAGAGTAGAATAATGTTGCTTCGTCGGAGGCTGCATTGATGATGTCACCTAGCACGGTGATGAAACATCTGAACAAAAACAAGCCAGCTCAGCGAGCAAGTCAACAACATCATGATACCCTGATTTCATATTTGATTACTCCCCTTCATATCAACTGCTGTTTAGAGAATAAGAAAACTCAATTGGTGTAAAAGCTGATTTCAATGGGGCAAAAATGGAGCCTGGCAGGATTGACAGGATTGAGAGGCTGATTGGAAAATTACGTAACTAAATAGCGGGCTATCTTCTAAAAGGAGATGGATCTGTACATTCGAAGTATATTACCTCAACTGGGAAAGGTAAGGCAAACAATTCCAGACTTCCCAGAGTGACAACAGAGCGAGAAATTAAGGCAAGAAAAAATGTGTGTTTTCGTTCAGACCATAGAATCATAGAATTTTATTATACAGAAGGAAGACATTTGACCCATCATGTCTGTAGCAGCTCCTGAAAGAGATATCCAACTAGTGTGTGCAGTTCTGGAATTCATGTTATAGGAGAGATGTGATAACACTGTAGAGTGTGCAGAAGAGATTTACCAGAATGTTAGGAACAAAAACAAAATTGCTGGAGAGGCTCAGCAGGTCTGACAGCATCTGTGAAGGTAAAAACAGAGTTAACGTTTCGGGTCCGGTGACCCTTCCTCTGTTCTCTGTTAACTCTGTTTTTTCCTTCACAAATGTTGCCAGACCTGCTGAGCCTCTCCAGCAATTTTGTTTTTGTTCCTGATTTACAGCATCTGCAGTTCTTTCGGATTTTACCTACCAGAATGTTGCCTTGGCTGGAGAGTTTTAGTTACCAAGAATGACTGTTGTTTTTCTTGAAGAAGAGAAGACTGAGTGAGGATAACACAGTGTGGAGCTGGAAGAACGCAGCAGGCCAGGCAGCATCAGAGGATCAGGAAAGCTGACGTTTCGAGTTCATAGAATCCCTTCATGTGTGGAAACAGGCCCTTCGGCCCAACAAGTCCACACCAACCCTTGGAGCATCCCACCCAGACCCATCCCCCTATAATCCACACACCCCTGAACACTACAGGCAATTTAGTATGGCCAATCCACCTAGCCTGCACATCTTTGGACTGTGGGAGGAAACCAGAGCACCTGGAGGAAACCCACGCAGACACAGGGAGAATTTTCTGAAGAAGAGTCCCAACCCGAAACATCAGCTTTCCAACTCCTCTAATACTGCCTGGCTGCTGTGTTCCTCCAGGTCCAGACTGTGTTATCTCAGACTCCAGCATCAGTAGTTCTTACTATCTCAGACTACGTGAGGAGATGTTTGAGATGTGTAAAATTATGAGCAGTGATATTTAAGGTAAGATGCAGGAGGTTTTGAGGGATTTAGGGAAATTTGTTTTCAGCCAGGATGGTGGAAATCTGGAAGGGTGGTAGGGACAGAAACCCTCATAACATTTCAGAAGTATTTAGATGTGCACTTACGAAGTCAAAGCATGCAAGACCAAATGCTGGAAAAGAGGATGGCAACTGCTGTGATGGTAGCCAAAGTGCAAGGAATCAAAGCAGGCTGGGAGGCAAGAGTTGACATGAGCCATGACTAACCTCTCAAAGCACTTCCTAATTATGGAGGTCAGAGCCACTGGGCAGTAGTCATTGAGGCACTCTGCATGAAGTTTCTTTGAGACTGGGACGATGGTGATCATCTTGAAGCAGATGGGGACTTCAGATCGTAGTAAGGAAAGGTTAAAGATGTCAGTGAATACTCCCGCCAGCTGGTACGTACAGGATCTGAGTCCCACAGCGAGGGACTTCATCTGAGACAGTCGCTTTCCATGGGTCACGCTCAAAAAGGCCGATCCTATGTCTGCAGCGATGACTAAGGGAGTAGGGAATAGAGACTATCAGGGCAGGTGACACTGTTTTACTGACCTTGAACAGGTCAATTAGAAAATGTCTACCAAGGATAAAAACGATACAGACCACCAGGATCATACAGCAACAATTTCATGAATGAACCAATTGTGGAAGCTGTGCCATCTAGTTCTTTTATCTCAACAGTGGCCTATTGTCACTAAATTAGTAATTCAAAGACTGAGCTAGTGCTCTGGAGGCCAGGGTTTGAATCGCACCTTGGTAGAATCTGAATAATAAAAGGTTCATGACAAAGGTGGGCTGATTACCTCTTTTTGGGCCTTAACTCTTTTGTATTTCCATGTAGTTGTGATGCAACACTCATCCTCTCCTCTGTTTGAGATCTAGGTGCAAAGGATGGTCAATGAACAGGCAGGTACAGAGACTGAATTGGAACTGGAAGATGTTCGTTGCTGGGCTGTCAATTATCTGGAAGCCTGAAAGCAATAAATATGTTCATGAGTACCAGATACCTGTAACTCAGTTGTCGTACATCTTAAAGTTTTGTTCCACAATGATTTGCTGTCATCTGCACATTTTTCAACACAAGAGAACTGTTGGCAGAGAGTTAATCTCTAACTAGAAATGTATTCATGTTATAATGCTATTAATTGTCCTTAATTCAGCAAATGTGTATAAGCTTAATGCATTTTTATTTCATTTTAAAATCCCTGTATAAGTAATGACTTCTTGTTAGCTGAAACCAGATTGACATTACAATTCTAGCCCTTGTCAGGATTAAGTGCTCTATAAATTAATGAGAGAACTTCATTACAGAATTTCAGTTCCCTACATTCAGAAAACTGTTATCACAGATAACAAGGACATATCATCTTTGAAAGGGTGTTTCTATAAAATTGGGGTATTATTTGAAGATGGAATTTACAGAACTAAGAATATACTCAACAACCTCACCCACAACCTGAGCTGCAGATCTTTGCCAACTTTAAATACTCATAACAATATGATTCATTTGGTAGAATAGTAGTTACAAGAAAGAAATGATAGACAATTACAAAGGAAGTGAATTACAACAAAATCCTGAGTCCAAAGCTGGATGCACTCTGCTCTATCTAACCATCATGTCACATTCTTTTGTCCTGATACTGATCTATCAAGCTATTCTCTAACATCCAGTATTCCCCAATATTGAGACTTTTCAAGTATTTGCCTTTGCTCTCTGATATATTATCAATTCTGTGATACTCGTCTCCATCCCTGCAGCAGTTTGAAGCTGTCACACACACATACACCAATACTGAGACCTGCCCACTTCCACCTGCATAATATCATTCGACTGTCAATTTTGTAAACCTCATCCTTGTTTGCAAAACTCCATGTCCTTCGTATCTCTATAATCTTTCCTATTTCGACATTTTTGAATTTAAACATTGGCTACCGGGTGCCTGGGACCTACTTTCTTTTTGTTTCTAAACTTCTCCACTTCTTTCCCATTTCATAAAACTATCTCTTTCATCAAATCTGAGGCAATTCATCATAATTTTCGATTCACCAATCCAATTTCTAAACTATCACGACTGATAATACTTGACTCATTCCTATGAAGAGGTATGAAATTTTGCTAAAACAAATGTTTCACATAAATGGATGTTATTTTTGATGTAGGGGAAATAAGACAGAATATTCTTAAATAACTCACCTTATTGTTAAAGGACCTGTCCAGACAATGAACAAGCAGAATGTAGAGGGTTATGGACCATGTGTAGGTAGATGGGATTTGTTTAGAATAGCATCAGGGTCGGCACAGATGTGGTGGGCTGAAGGGCCTGTTCCTGCGCTGTACTGTTCTATGTTCAGTGAGAGCTTCCCTAGACTGAGTTCCATTCCTGAAGAAGCCAAACGTTAGATGTTGAAGCCTTCACTCTAAACAATCGATATACATCTAATTCAATGGCAATGAATCTATCAAGTAAGAATGCAAAAGTACACAAGGCACAAAGATAAACCTCATTTAATGCAGTTTTGTATAAGGAAAGATTTAGCTCAGAAAGGTATTGGTGAATTAGCAGGCTGTAATGAGGATTCCAAATGCAAGGATCTCATGGTCTGAATCTCAAGCACAGAGCTTGCACTGTAAGGACGCACAGAAAATCATTTTTTTAAATTTTGTGCTTATGTGGGATAGCTTCAGATAGCTGCTCAATAAATCTAAACCTTAGTAACCTGGATTTTGTTGTTGTATTTAGAAATTATTAGATTTGTTGGAATAGTTATATCAATTGCTCATGCAGTGCCTCTTCTTTTCCCATAAGGATGGCAGACTGTAAACTGAAAGATGAGAGGATATGCCAGATGTGACATGACTGCAAATTGTTGTCCTTTGGCAGATTGGCAGCATGGTGCTTCTCTAAAAACATGCTGGTCAATAAATACAACTCTTAAAAATAACTGAATTCAATAGGTGACATGCAGCCCATTCCACACTGCACTTTGACGTTTCCATCACATATAGACAGAGTGGTTGAAAAGGCATTTGGTATGTTTGCCTTCATTGCTTAGTCCTTTAAGTATTGGAGTTGGGAAGTCATGTTGAGGTTGTACAGGACATTAGTGAGGCCCCCTCTGGAATACTGTGAACAGTTCTGGGCGCCCAGTTACAAGAAGAATATTACCAAACTGGAGAGGTTCAGAAGAGATTTACCAGGATGTTGCTGGGTATGGAAGGTTTGAGTTATAATGAAAGGCTGGAGAGGCTGGGAGTTTTTCAGTGGATCATAGGAGGTTGAGAGGCAACCTTGGAAGTTTATAAAATAATAAGGGGTATAGATAGAGTTAATGGTAGTTCTCTTTTCCCTAGGATGGGGGATTTCAAGACTAGGGGGCACACATTTTAAGGTGAGATGAGAGAGATTTGAAAAAGACGTGAGGGACAAATTTTTTACACCGTTCACATGTGGAATGAACTTCCTGAGGAAGTGGTGGATTTGGGTATAATTACGATGTTGTAAAGACATTCGGATAAGTACATGAGCAGGAAAGGTTTGGAGGGATATGGGCCAAGAACACACAGGTGTTAGTTTGGGATTATATTTGGCATGGACTGGTTGGACCAGAGGGTCTGTTTCCGTCCTGTATGACTCTATGACTCCATGGTCAATTAGATAGTGGCTGATTGCATCTTATCGTCATTTAGCCACCATTTTTCCTTGCTTATCAAAAACCTCTCCACCACATTTTGCATGATCCGGGCCAACCGCAGCACTGCGCGTGCTGTTGGTTCTGGGCATACCATGCATTCATCAGGCCATGGGCAGTACACAGGTAGCTCCAGGCACTAAGGGATTCCACGTCTGCTCCAGGCTCAGTTAGCATTCTGCGTGCTCCTGGTTCTGGGCTGGACGAGGCATTCACCAGGATCACAGCGACATTGCAAATGCACCAGACCTTGGGCTGTACTACATATGCTCCAGTGCCAGTGCAGCATTGTGCCTACTACAGGGCTGGGTCACATGATTCATTTCACAGGTCCTGGTTATTCCTTAGCATGCTCCTGGGTCACGATGGCACTGCATGCTGCAGAACTGTGGTTGTAGCATGCATACCCCAGGCCCTGGGTAGTATTGTGCTGCCCATGTGCTTGTGTGGTGCCATGTATGCTCCAGGATCAGGTCATTTCTAAGCATTGACCATAACCTGGGCAACAGTGCGCAAGCTCTGGGCCCAATCTGGTACTGCGTATGCTTCTGGAATTGGGAAAAACCACATTTGCTCCATGACGGGGGCAGTACCACGCATGCTCCAGCGCTGGGGTGATACAGTGCAAGCTCCAGACATCACTTCAGATAACAAGGCCTCTCAAACAGTGGACATTGCTGTCTAACTAGAAGCTCTTTATCAGCTGCATTATCAGCTGATGCCAGGATTCTGGCCTCTAAATCATACATTTCCAGTGTGCACCACTACTAGTTAGAATTTCAAGATAATCATGTTGAGAAAGAGCAAAAAGCAGGAAACCTAAATGGTGTACATATCTGATTATGGCATCAGGATTGATGTACATGATAAATTCAGGTCAGTTTGTTTCTATGTGCCTTTTAATGTTTACAGGCTCTTTCAGTCAGTGTGAGTGTGCACAATGTGTTTGCATGAGCTTGCTAATGTTTACATATGGTTTCTGATTCAATTTAATGTTACCAAATTTAATGTGTGTGCCTTTTATTATTGCCAGGCTGTTTTCTGTTTGTGTTATAATTTGTGATGTGTTTCCATGAGTCTGTTTATAGACTACTCCTATTCATATTTGCAGTGTGAATTGGGTGATGGTGACAGGTTAATTATGGTCATCTATTAAAGTTTATATTCTCTTCTGTAAGTCTGCTGATGTTTAACAAGACTTTCCATGACTGTGTGTAAACATTAACTCAATGCCCCTTTAAATTTGATCACATTCAAAGGAGTCGTTGGTCATTTTTATTTCAAATTTTAATTGATAATTTCTTGAGGAAATTCAAACTTTTTTTGCTGGGCGGGCCAGTTACACAATATTCACACAGGAGCTTCATTGAATTTTCTGGTCCACAGGAATGTACATTCCTCCATTCGAATAGGTCACCTCCACTTAGGGATTTGATCTGCTTCATTGTTATAGCAAATAAACCTTAAATCATGTTAGACAAATGTTCTAGAGTTCTTTGATGATATATTGAGCAGAGTTCATAAAGGGGGCACGATGGGTGTAGCCTATTTGGTTTTCCAGTAGGCATTTGATAAGGTATGACATAAAATGTCATTGCATTGGATAGAAGCTCGTGGTATTTGGGTGAACATATGAGTAGGGATTAAGTAAAAATAAAACAATACAGATGAGCGGAAAACTGAAATGAAAATAAAACCTTCTGGAGAAACTCAGCTAGTCTGGCAGCATCTGTGTGGAGAGAAATAGAGTTAATGTTTCAAGATCAATATGACTCTTCGTCAGACAGAATTTGGTTCCAAAGAAGAGTCAAACTGGACTCAAAATGTTAACTCGGTTTCTCTCTCCAAAGATGCTGCCAGACTTGCTGAGTTTCTTCAGGAATGTCCATTTTTATTATGGATTGAGTTAACTCACTGAAGACAGAGTCCTCCACAAGACCTTAGTTGGAGTACTGTGTACAGTTGCCAATGCCACATTATATGAAAGATACAAATACATGGAGGAGAATGCAGACGCAATTTACTAGAATAGTTCCAGGTATGAGAAACTTTAGTTATGAAGATAGATTGAATAAGTTGGGACTGTTCTCCTTGAAGAGAAGAAGGCTGAGACGAGTTCTGATTGAGCTTCCAAAATCATGAGTGGGTTGGTCAGAATAGAAAGGGAGAAGTTGTTTCTGCTTGATGTGTGGTGATGGAAGGTGATGGCCTAGTAATATTTTTGCTAGACTATTAATCGAGAAATTCAGCTAATGTTGTGGGGATCCAGATTTGAATCCCACCATAGCAGATGATGAAATTTGAATTCAATAAAAGTAGTCTGCAATTAAGAATCTACTGATGACTATGAAGCCATCGTTGATTACTGGAAAATCCCATCCACTAATGTTCTTCGAGGAAGAAAATCTGCCATCCTTACCTAGTCTGGACTATGTGTGACTCCAGGCCCACAGCAATGTGGTTGACTCTCAACTACCAACTGAAATAGGCTAGCAAGGCATTCAGTTGTAACATTAGCTACAAAGTCTCAATAAAGGAATAAAACATGACAGACTGAGATAACAATGCGTAGAGCTGGATGAACACAGCAGGCCA